ATCGCGATAGACTTCGTGATTCGACTTAGTGATAATGAGGATTATTATTAGTTTCTTGTTTCTGTTTATCCGTGCTTAAGCATTTGTGGTTTCATGTATTGTTTGAGTTCCATGTATGTAACAGTATTCTCATTGTGGCAGTTCCCACTGTTCTTGTCTTTGGTGTTCTTGCTGTACAGATCTACAGAAAACACAAAAGACAGATTCAGGGTCCAGATGACTACCAGCCTCCTTCTGAAGTGATGACTATTTGAAATGTCTCAGATTCTACAGCTTCTACAGTGTCCTGATGATGCTTCAAATCCTCTCATCAACTGTGTGTAGAAAAGCAGCCTGACTCAGTAAACATGCTCAATGGACTGTACAGTCCACTGCAGGGCCCATATATGTCCCATGGTACATTACTGCAACTCCCTTATTCACCAAGGGTCGCTAAAAATGTCATTTCTACACCAGCTTCTCTTCCTGACACCACCCATAAGGGACCTTTGTTTGGGCTCGCCCTTTTGGGCCATGGAGACCCTGAAGGGGAATTCTGCGGACACATGTGAGCACATATGTTTGCTTTGAAATGAGATGCATCTGATACAGGGATAGTGGGAGGTCTTTGTGCTCACAGTGGGGTTTATGGTTTGAAGAGAGGTGTAAGTAATGGAAACAGCTGCTGTGCAGACACCGTCACAAAGTGCTAACTGACACGTTTATCTCTTACTGACTGGCATGAAAGTCCAGAGCAAACCCTAGTGTGGGAGTCAAATGTCCACCTGAAATTATTTTGTTAAACGACAAATAATAATACAGCTGCATAACAGGGTTTGTTCTGAGCCATGTACACATGTCAACAATGCAACTGTGTCCTGCCCATTAAACACTCTGTTTATAGTTACAGTGAAAACATTGGTTGCTAGGGTGAGGTGGCATCAGATAATCTGCTGTTGTTCCTGTTACTCTACCTCTGTCACATGAGGTAAAAACTCAACATAGATAAACTGATTTTCTCAAAAATGACCAATGTCCGTTTTCAAAAATACCCGTGTACGTGTGGACGTAGCCTCAGTCTCTGACTGGAAGCGCTAATTCGTCATTCGGCTTTTGTCAGACTAAAGTAACTGTTAAAACTGTTTGAAAAGCTAAGCTATACAACAAGGAGAGATTGAGAATTTCCTTTTAGTTCTCAGTTTATTTGATATTGACAAAAGTTAGTCAGTTTTGTCTGTTCTTCTGTAAAACAAACTAAGATTTATTTTTAGAATTAATATTTTGTTTCTAAGTGGAATTGACAATTTAGTCTGTTTCGTTTGTTCTATTTTGAAACTTAAACGCTTTAGCGGCTGCCTTTTGTGTAGTTTGCAATATTTGCCTTTATTTATCTGAAAAAGTCTCATGTTCCTTAAGTACATCTACCCTGTTGAACTTATTATGGGAAATAAATATTTAAATCAAAACAAGCTGCTGATTATTTCACATTTTACTTGTGAGCAACGGCACATTTAAATCTTACAAATATAGTTATTTGGCTTATATCGTGATAGATATCGTTATCGCCTGAAATGAAAAAAACATATCGTGATATGAAAAAATCTCATATCGCCCAGCTCTAGTTTCAACGTAACTTTATTCTTTCATGACATACAGAAGTGGTGAAGGCGAAGCAGTCCTGAACTTCGGACTCTTACTTACAGCTTACTGCTGTGATAAGTCTTTTAAATGACCAGCAGGAGGCGATCCATGATTGTATAGAAGTCAATGAAGATCCAGTGACCTCAGCACTGTCCTGGTGACTTTATGAGCAGGTGGATACAGTGGATGAGTCATTAAACACAGGACATGCAAGAAAGGCAAAGAGTTAACCACTTCAGTCCTACACTGTATTTATCTTTGTAATGTTTAGTTATTTCTGTCTTTATATGGTTGCATTTGTGACCTCAGCTAACATTTTCCTCGTAACTTTATGGGCTAGCTTGTGATGATAAACAAATGTAGAAAAAAATAATCATGTTAAAAACAGGAACTGAAGCATGACTAACCATCTAAATATTATAAAACTGTTTAACTGTTCTATTTAGAAAACTGCAGAAAACACTGTTCTGAATGTTTCTATACTTCATATGAAACTGTCACAAAGTGTTTGTTATGACCTCAGTATATGTGGAACAAATGTGTGTCCAGTAAAAGATGAGTCCACAATCAATCAGAGAATCAATCAACAATATTTTGGGTTTAAATATTTAGATTACAAAGCTTACTTTTTGATTAAATCTGCATAAACCTTATCACTGAACCTTATCATCCATCCATCCAAAGAATCCAAGAATGGAAGCATTAACAAAGACAGCACCAACACACATTTCTTGTCATTTCATGCAGGGTGGCTGTAGCTCAGGTGGCAGAGCAGGTCAGCCACAAATCAGAAGGTCAGTGGTTTGATCCCAGGGTACCTTCTGGCTGCATGCCAAATATCCTTGGGCAAGATACTAACCCCATATTTGCCTACTGGTGGTGGTCAGAGGGCCTGGTGGCGCCAGTGTTCGGCAGCCTCGCCTCTGTCAGTGAGCCCTGTGGCTACAATGTAGCTTGACAGTGTGTGAATGAATGTAGTGTAAAGGTCTTTAGGGACTAAGTAAAGCGCTATACAAATGCAGGCCATTTACCATTTCTTAGGTTGTCCAACTGTTCATGAAGCTGTAGTTGTTTCTCACTAACTTAATTTTTAAATCCAAAACATCAACATACAAAATAGCAATAATAAATACTAATTTTATTTAATAATTTAAAAATATTCTACAAGATGGGTCCAGATAAAACAATACAGTCAGAGTTGGACATAGCTGAGTGTTCTGTTGGTCGACTTCAGAGAACAGAAGGAACCGTAATAAAAAATTTAAATATTGATACTTGGGCAATGATATCATGCACTCTGATTTAGAAGCAGATTTTACTTCTAGAAAACAAGAAGAAATTGTAAGATATTTACAAATTTCTGTCTTCATGTATTTTTATCATATATATATTTGACTGCATTAGGACATTAATAATCCAATGCTCTCAGTCTCTGGATGCAGTCCTGCTGTTTCCTGGGGAGAATGATGATGAAGTAGTTTGTCCTTAAATGTCAGAGTGACATCAGGGATCCTTGTGGTGACAGTTGTTTGCTTCCAGATCATTTCTGTCTCTTTGTTCAGCAGCGGGAGAGTCATAGATCCATGCAGATAAGACGAACAAACAAATAACAACCAGAACAGAATCCATTTCCTCTTCAAACTGCTGTCAGACATTATCTACTGCACTCTGATGTCACTCTCTGGAATCTGTCCTGCTGTTTGCTGAGGATGAAGTAGTTCATTCTCAACTGTCAGAGTGACACCAGGGATCCTTGTGGAGTGTTGGTGACTGTTGTTTGCTTCCGGGTCATTTCTGTCTCTGTGTTCATCAGCAGGAGATTCAGAGTTCAGAAATCTCTCAGACATTTCAATCGGTGGTTCAGTGGGAGGATGATCTGCGTCCTGACAACATTTTTTATATGTTATGTAGATCAAAACAACAACAACAGCAAAAACAACCACAACAACAATTGGAAGACCAATGATGAGTCCAACAGATCCACTCTTCTCTCCTCCATCCTCCTCTCCTCCATCCTCCTTCCCTCCATCCTCTGTGTGTCCTCCTGACTGACCTGCAGATGAGAAACAGGTGTGAGGTGTCAGCTGTCAGGTAGGTGATGAGTGAAGAACAGAACAGAATCCATTTCCTCTTCAAACTGCTGTCAGACATTATCTACTGCACTCTGATCACATCACTCAGACCAGCTGCTTTCTACAAAGTCTCATCAACAACATCTTTAGAAACAAACATCAACAACCAGGAAGCAGCTTCACCTCTGATCACACACACACTCAACTCTACTCACTCAACTGGAGGATCAACAACACTCAGTGTAAAGCTGCAGATAAGATCCAACGATTGTGTTTCCTCCATGAAGACACGACACTCGTATGTTCCATTATCAGCACTCGTCACATTCTTCAGGATTATAGACACATTTCCATCCTTCATCTCCCTGTCTTGCAGATCCACCCGGTTCACAAAAGATTGATGCTGGTCATCTGGGTTGGGGTTCATGTTTTTAAGCACTAAGACATATTTATCTCCCAGGTCAGCTCTGCTCCACTCTACAATGTCATTGTTGTTGTTTGGAGCTTGACATGTCAGAGGGACGTCCTGTCCAGACTCAGCTGTGATGTTTTTCTGGACTAAAGAGGAAACAACACAGAGCAGAGACGTTAAAGGTCAAAGGTCAGCTTCTAAAGTTAAATAAATGTATGATGTTTGCTGACCAAAATAACCCTGATTATGATTTCAGCTGCTCAACGCTCGACTTTTGTTTAAATAAGTTTAGGCTAAACTGTTAGTTTTTACTATTTTTATTCCCTAAACCAGCTGTTATCATTGGATTGTTGTTGATATTGAAATATTTCTAACTGATAAAACCCCTAGTTGTTCTTTACTATATCAAAGATACGTTAAAAAAAAAAACGAAAAAAAAAAAAAACGAAGCAACAAATTGCAAGAAGCTTTACAGGAAGATTTTATGTCCCATAATATAAAAGTGTTATTTGTGAGGTAGAGGAGATGAATGACATTAGCGTGTTATTTTAATTAACACTGTTGAGGTCGACTGTCACCACTCTCCCTTACATACCCCCCTCCCCACAATTTTAAGATTCCCTATCATTTTTTCATTTTTCTTCATTCATTCTTCATTTTTTTTCTGCTTTGTAGTCGATGTCTGTAAGAGATAAATCAGGTTTGAACAGGCTCTGCTGTAGAGCTGTTTTTCTTCCATTTTGCTATGTTGCTCAAATGTCGGTGTGTGAAAGAGTGTCGAGCTCGCCTTACGGACGTAAAGCACGCCCATGAGGAGTGAGCTGTAAGTGGAGCTTTTCTGGCAGCGAGCAAATCAGGCGCGGTGCCGCCTCCGAAGCTGTGCAACGTGATCATTATATCAGTTTCAGAAATACAGAAAAGTGACGAACATTTCTCCGGGTGTGTTTTTCGAAGGCTGAATACTGAGCAGATAGTCGTCTTCCACTGCGTTTTTCTCGTCTCTGGTGTAGACAGAAGGAAGTTTTGCTACAGCTTGTGACGGTAAGAAACAGTAAGTAAGAGACTCACACATATTCTCTTGACTGTTTGTGAGCCTCTTACACGCACTTGTTTTATTTTATGCACTTTTTTGAGATATGATTTTTAAACTGTAGTTTCCTTTCAAACAGTTTCCACGCCGAGTTTGCTCGGTTCTCTTTGTTTACCATTTTATTTAGGAATGATTTTCAACATTATTTTAGACATACTGGGCCGTTTGTGGGCTCACACCGCAAATATAAACAGGATTTAGCTTTTTGTTGGGGGGCTTTCTTCTTGTTTCTGGTCAGAGAACTTTGATTTTCTATATTTCTGGACACGTTCTAACTTTTTGTGTTTGTGGACACAGCGTTGCGAGGCTTCTTTTGCATTGAATTTCATAATCTCAAACAGTTTAGTAACAGAAAGAATGTGAGAACAGGGCGTGTGTTCCTGGGAAGGGCAACAAGAAGCATTCAAACACTGATAAACCCTGGCACGTAACCACGCACTCATGACTCACGTAAGGCGTGCCCGAATGTCAATTCCGCTTCAGCTGTTTTATAATCTAAGTGAAATAAAGTCCAAGAACATTTGACAAGCACGCCTAGTTTCATCGAGACTAGTTTGTAGATGACTCAGTTTGTAAGAGGTGCCTGATAGTTCAAGCTAAATGGAATAAAGTCCAAGAAAAGGAAACATGATATTCTTTAATCAGTTTTGTTTTTTGGCAGTTTTAGTGTGATGTAAATCATATTGGGCTTTTGTGGGCTCACTTTAGAGACATAAACACGAATTCAACATTTTTTTTTCCTTTCTGCTTCTCTTTTTTTTTTTTTTTTCTAGACATTAATTTCTTTTTCTTTGTGTGTCTGTAGACACAGATTCCCCCTTTTTGTGGCTAAATTTATAACTTGAATAAAGCCAAAGAAAAGGATTGTTTTTAAGGTGGAATAACTGTGTAATGTCTTTTAATGTTCCTTTTCTGAGATAATAATTATTAGCACAGTTATCCTGTGCGATTTGTATTTTTTAAAACGTCAAAGCTGTTTTTGACTATTAAAAATAAATGTAAATACACTCTTGTCATTAATACAATGTTGCTCTCACCTTTAGCCGAAACCCCGACACAGAGCCACATGACAGACCAGAAGAAAATCACTTTGGTCATTTTTGTTGAGCGCAAACAAAACCAATGAGCAGCAAAGTTTGTTACCATACTAACTCAGTGCTCGGTTTTAGGGTTTATTTATTTGGGGAGTGACGTAGTTTGTCTCCACCCACAAACCCAAACTTGCACAACGTCCAAGCACAAAATGATCTCTTTCTCGACTTTTTTTCAGAGGTTGCTTGAAATCAAAGACACAGGATCGGATATTTGAAGACTCAGATCATGAAAAACGTTTAAACCTGTTGAATGATTGTGAGGCAATTTTTTTCATTACGAAGTTGACGGCGCAAATTAAAAGTGAGTAGTTGTTAAACAAAAGTAAAACTGAGTTATGTTTCTTTATGAAAATTTATTCTGTCAATTTAATGATTTTAATTTATTCTTTTCTTTGCTTGTTTTTGTTTGGTTACATAAATGTTCATTATTATTATTATTATTATTATTATTTTAAAGGTTTAGGTGTAACAAACATGAGTTGGGCTACACCTTATCAGTCGACATCTCATATCAGATTTTATTTTTGTTTTCCTCTTTAACAGCTGTCATTTAAAAAAAATAATCTGTTGGAAGACAAAGTGAATAAATAACATGAGTAACTATTCAGACAGAATGAAACCTGCTACTCAGCTCCTGAATAATTCCGGCTTTGAATTTGAATTATGGAAGCAAAGTTTCTGCTCTCATGTTGGCTCTGTTTTGTGACTTGCAGAAACAGATCAGAAGTTTCTGGCATCACTTCAGCTTCTTCCACGGAGACGAGCATAAGGTCTAATGACAGTGATGATGATCCTGATGAAGGCCACGAGCCCAAATGTGTTGGTGGAGCAGTAAAGTTTTCTAAATCATTCAAATGTTTCTCGAGCTCTAACTCTCTACTTCCCTATTGTTTTAGGGCTCTGTGTGTTGATTTCACTGACAGCTTATTTATTAATAAGTAATTATTAATATTATTGTTGAAAACAACTCCAAGAGGTAAGTTTAGTTTTATAGAAGAGAGAGCAGTCTCTTTGTCAGGTGAATATCTACAAATATACAAACACATTAAATATGTATCTGAAGATGACAGTCAGCAATGCAGCTCAATTTAAAAAAAAATAATATGAAAATAAAAGAATGAATCTGAACTTTTAATGTGACTCTTTCCTTATTTGTTTAAAATGTATGAATAATGAGTCATTACTGCTTTTCTTGAAACCTCAACACAGAAAAAGAATAAAAACTAAATGTGAAATTCGTCACTTTATTGCTCTACGTCTCTTTTTTGTTTGTGTTTCTTTAGTACAGGGTTCATGGTTGCTTTATTTTCTGTAATGTGAGAACAGGGTGTGTATTACTGGGAAAGGATTCAACCACTGAAAAACTTACACACTTATTTGGAAAATAGTTCCTGGATGTGTCAGTCTCCACACTGAAAATAATAATCAGTGGGATAAACATAAAAAAATCATTGTAATCGGTTGCACGAAATTAAGTTATGTTTGGTTAACCTTAGTTTTTTATGTTATACCTGCACACATTTTTCTGGTAACACGAACATGACTTTTTTATGTTGTTGTTATGTTTTTCATTCCGGTCAAATATTTATAGAAACCACTTGTTTATCAGACATGAACTTTTTGTGTTAATTGTATTGGACTACTATGTGTTATATTGACAAGATTATTTTATGGTAAGCTTATTTTATTTTATAACAGATTTCTAATATATAATATATAATCTAATATATAATTGAGTGTTCAATAAATAAAACTAAATTAAGGCTGATCTTACTGTATGTACTGTACACTTTCTCTTCAATCAAAGAAATAAGCAAAACATTTTTGAACAATGACCTGTATTTTTGAAAATACTACACAGTTGTAACAATGGACTTTCAATTCAGGCTTCCAAAATATACATGAGTCATATTTGTACAATGCATCTCTTGAAAAACATTCCACAACATTCCTCCAAGTTATCTGCTGTAACCTGAATTCAACATTTTGCAGTTCTGCCAAATGACCCAGAAACTACATCTATTATTGTCATATACACATCAAGGTCTCTCATTAATACTTAGTTAAATTAGTTAATTTGAACTTTCCAGAAAATTTACCTTACAGAATGTGAGATAACATACGCAAATTTTCACCCCCCCAACACACACACACACACACACACACAAACTATATACACACACACACAGAGCTAATGGAGAACCCACATATAAACCACACCCACCCCAACACACACACAGAGCTCACCCCATGGCAAACTAGCTTATTTAACTGTTTAACTAAAACATTTTAGGTACAACCAGTTAACTAAATGGACACAAGTTTGTTAGTCTGTATTCACTGAGAAAAAACAAGCGAATGTGACTGGGCACACACTGAAAAAAAGCTAATGCACATAATATTGTCCCGCAGCTTAAGCTAGCATTATCGTTAGTTAACTTAAGGAATGACTTGTTTTTTCCATTATGTTGCTCAACAGCAATTCATGAGAAAAACTTCCCCATCTAATGGATGTTCTCTTCGTTTCCTCTCAAACATGTAGTTTTCAGTTTACCTCGACAAAGTAAAGCTCAGCACCAAACGTAAACGAAGCGAAGACAAAAAATGGCGGACCGCCACAGTGAATTTTCCCTCGCAGAACACACCCTGGGGGGTGGAGTTTCAACAGAAAACATAACTATTTTCTGTTATTTTGATATGACTGGTTTTAAAAGACTGAACATCCTTCTAAAACAAGTGAAAGGCGTGAGACTTAATTATGTTTAGACCAAAAATATAAATGATTCATGTTGGATATATTTACTGTATTTTTACTAATTTAACAACCTCATCATTGCATTAGTCGCTTTATGCTATAGCATTACGCTTACATTAGCTTGAAGCTCAAGGTCGTCATTTTATTTAATTTCTTTTTCTGGGCTTACAAACAGGACACACAACATTTAGATAACCGTTACACTGAATCTTGGGTCTGTGTTGAGTCTTCCAGCTGCTGACTACAGAAGCTAGATTGACCTTTCAGCATGTTTATAGCGGCTGTGGCTATGTGCTGGTAATGTTACCGTGTGTGAGCAGTCACATTGGCAGCAGACATGTTTCAACAAACTAGTCATATCCCAGCCCTACATTAGCTTGTTTAATGGTTAAGACACTGCAGGTACCACCACTTACTACAGACACCGATGCAAGTTTGTAATAGTCTGTTAATTTAGACTGAAAGAATATACAAACAATATTAACTCACATTATATATGTTAATTACTAATTTGCTTATCGCATAATTTCGGTTACCATTAGCTAACTGGAGCTAGCTAACATTGGCCTTTCATGGTTTTCGATAAACAGCCCACATACCTGTAAAATAACAACACCCCAGTAAAAGTCCACATATATAAAGGGTCTACACTCTTTCTCACTGGTGTGTTAGCTTTAAAATCTTATTTACCTTCAAGTGTAAAACTCCAGATGGTAGTAGATTTTCCAAAGCGAGAGACAAAAATGGCGGACAGTGCAGCCGATTTTTCCTTTCCAGGGGGCGGAGCTTGAGGATAAAACACGACTAACTTGTTTCTTTTCAACATGATTTGTTCTAAAAGAATGAATATTCTTAAAGAATATGTGAAAATTAAAAGACAAAAATATGTTTAGATGTGAAATTTAAATTAGTCATGCTGGATATATGAAGTAATTCTATGCAGATTCAACAACCACCCTATTGCATTTTTTTCAGTGCATGAAGCACCTGAATGGGAACTCACATTCACCTGTTTGAAAGTGGAAAATGGTCCAAGAAAAGGTACTAGGTTGTAAGCATTCAACCTATTGAGACCGAAACCCTGCCCCAATAAAAGATTTTCCCCCTTAACTGACATTAATGCATCTGAAAGTACTGCTGTGGCAGTATTACGAAAAAAAAAGTTCTTGATCTGTTGACTTTACTCTTACACTTCTGTTAATACTTTTAACTTTTGTAATTCATTCTGAAAATTGAATCATCAAAAACTATCCAAAATAGATACAGGTTTACAGTTGACAGTCCATGCTGCATGTTTTATTGCCTTGGCTTATATAGAACTAACATATTTGACTTATAGTAAAAAAAAAAATTCTTATTGCCCTGCATGTTTTAAAACTTAGGATATCCTTTAAGGAAAACATAGAAAAATCAAGAAAAATACACGCTTCCTTTTGTTTTTGCCCCAGAGTTGTGGTAACCTAAGTAGGCCACTTTTATGTATGTGTGTGATTTGACTTTATAACAAATTGAGTAGAAGATGCTACTTAGTGGGATGTATATTATACATGTATGCATGTATATATGTATAATTACTTCCCTGTGGGGCTCAGCTGAACTCAGTTCTGGGAGTTGAAATCAACATAAAAATGTTTAATTTGTCTTGATGCTGTATAACTGTGTTTATGTACATTAGCAGAATTTAGAAATACACTATTTGCCTGTTAAACATTATTTTAAGCAACTCTGAAGATAGAAAATCCAGTCCAATAAGTCCAATAAGGAGAGACTGTGAATTAGTGAAGTGCAAAATTTGAGTAAGAAGGTATATGATTTGGTGCAGAAGAAGAAGCACCCCCTCCAAAGAAAACAAAAACAAACAAAAAAAATGTCTGGAGTCGAAGTTGTTTCTCATCACTGCTAATTGCTAATGTGAGACCTATGTTGGATTGTGTTTGTGAGAAATCAGCCAACAGAGAGGCTGGAGAGATTCACTGTTCTGCAGATGCCTAATTCATTGCATAGTCTGTAGTTGTTATGCAGAGCTATCACATGGACACCTCTGTATTTTTGTGAGTGTCCACTCAAGTGGACCTTGAGAGATGAGGCCCTGTGGAATCTAGTGAAACATGAAACCACAGCTGGGGGTCTATAGTAAAAGCAAACGTAAATCATGAGCATATAATGTTTCAGTAAGATGTTAGCTTCATGAATGGTTTTTCTCACTAATGAGCATGCGCTCAACATCCACTCTGCACGTGCCTACGTCACACATATACACACACACAGACACATGAGTTGCTTTGGTTACCATATAAGGGAATATCCAGGGTTTAAGAGCATGTTTTGAAGCCCCCACCCCGAAAGGTAAGGTATAGAGATTGAAAACGTGACGTCATGCCGGGGTAAAAACCGCAAAGGATTTTGGGTACGAGTGGCAAGCGGTACTAGCGCACGCAGGCTTTCACATGAAAACAGTCACACAGCAATAAAAAGAAACACAAATAATGGCAAGAAGCTGTTGTTGTCACGGTCTGCGGAGGCAGACCGTGCGGAAATGTGTGTGGTGGACCCAGGAGCGAACACAAGCGAGGATGCAGGAGTGGAGTAAAACAAAAGCGAGCCTTTTATTCTGGCTGATGAAAGGAACAAAACAGAGTGAGGGCAGCATAAGAGTAATAGTTCAAACAGAAACCTAAACTGGACATAAACTAAGGAAAAGCTATGGCTGGAGATCCGGAACACAGGGGGTGGTAACACAGACGACGCGACCCAGACTACATGAAACACAGAGACTA